GAAGCGGATATCGTCCTCTTTTGGAAGACCAAACAAAGTAGTTTCGCTTTCACAACGAAACACACAGCGTCTTCACAACATGGCGGCGGCAACAACAATACTACAGCGAGAATAAAAGTTATGCCTTCTTTCTTTGCGTGAACATTTGGGCGGCGTTATGCAAATCTTCCCACATAGTGACGTAGACATGGTGTTAGATGTTAGAACGAGGTGTTTTAGGTAGGCGTGGCTGACTCTTAACTTTTATAAAGAATATCTCTTTGGATTTGAGACTTTAGTCTTTGCAACTTTACAGATCTTCTTTATGCACCAAGAGCTTGTAACACTCCAAAGAGAAAGGAAAAATTGAAATTGCATCATATGACCCCTTTAAGGCTTTCATGCAACTGGGCCCTGACCTTCAGTTCCACTAATGCTCACAAGTCTGTGTTTTTATGAAAGTAAAAGCTCTTTTACTGTTGCAATGTTATAATGAGTCACGTTTATCAAAAAAACACTTATAAAAGTGTATATAGACCCACTTTATTTTTTTATGTTTTACTCAGTCCATTCACATGTCAAAATGTTCTTAGACCCGCAAAAGAAAGTATATTAATCATTTCGCAGGGAAGTTTACAGGTCACCGTTCCACGAATGGCAGTTTTTGTTCCAACGCAACAGTTCAGTCTTTATACAAGAACATTTTGACACGTTAATGGACTGAGTATCATTTTCCTTGGATTTTGAAGTGAACTTTCCAACTTTTGAGCTGAACTGAAGTGGACTTTTAAATAAATGATTGAACCAAACTGACTATGAATGTGAAACTTTTCAGTGCGGTAAAAGAGGGACACTGATTGTTATTTTGTTGTTTAAAAACAGAAACAGTCACAAATTTTTGATATTCTCTTTATTGTGTTCTATATTTTGTTTCATTGTGAATTGATTGAATTTGAAAAACTTTCAGTCTTCCTGTAAGGAAACAAGAGAAAAGAAAGAAAATTTACAGTTCATTAAAATCATCTATTAAGTTCAATAATATTCATGTAAATAAATATTTCCTGGTTAGTTAAGCTGAAACTGTTTGCTAAGTTTGAGTCACTTATACTAAGGAGTGGGAGCGTCTCACCTATCCTGTTAGATCTGGGGAGGGTGGGTTTTGCAACCAACAACACTTACCTTCAAAGTTATCTGCACACACATACTCCTGGGGCCGCCGTGTATAGAGTAAATCCTGGAGCCCACCTCACCTTATCTGTAGCACTATCACTATAGCAACACGATAGACACTAACATATAACCACCAGTTGTACAGAGACCTAAAGCATTAGGTGGAGGGTCTAAGATCCTGATACTCACTCAGTTTTCCCTAGTTAAGTGCTTAATATTTTCCCCCACAAGGCGGTGGCATATTCCCCTATTTTTATTTTTATTTTTTGTGGGGCCCCTCAAGTGGCCATAGAACTTGGTCCACCACAATCACCAGCATGTCCTGTTTTAATGGTCGCTAGTCCTATGCTATATGTACCTTCCTGCCCTGTGGTTCCCACACCAGAGCCAGTTCACAACATGGCTGCCACACCAGAGCCTCTTCTCAGCATGGCTGCTGCACCAGAGTCTGTTCATAACATGGGCGCCACCCCAGAGTCTCATCACGACATGGCCGCCACTCCTGAGTCTCGATCTGTCATGGTTGCCATTCCAGAGCCTCCAGCCCTCATGGATGTCATGCCACAGTCTTCAGCCATCACGGATGCCACTCCAGTGGTCCCGGTCATCGTGAATGTTGCATTTGAAGACACCCAGGTGTTCCAAAGGTGTTTGAGGCTGGCTTCCAGTTTGGCGGACCCACCATGTCGGTACGGGCGGTTGGCATCCCCAGCTCTGCAGCCTCGGCACTCTCAAGCCTGGTGATCTCAGAGGTTCTCCCACCTTCCACTGCCCTTTCAGTAATGGCAGTCACCATTTTAGTGTGTCTAGGCTATACACACTTCTGAGGCGACGGCGTCCGCTCCACGTGTCCATTCCACAGTCCGCTCCAGTTCACGAGTCTGCTTCAGAGCTCACTCGAGTCCATAAGTCCACTCCGGAGCCTGCTCCATTCCATAAATCCACTTCAGAGGTCGCTTCAGTCCGTGAATCTGTGCCAGAGTCCACTTAAGCCCCAGAGCTCAGTCCTGTGTATGCAACAGCCTGTGAGTTCCCTGCCTGACCTGTTTCGACCTTTGAAATCCCTCTTGAACGCTCTGCTTGCCCTGTCTCGGCCATGGAGGCCGTCCCTGAACTCTTTGCTTGTTTGTTTCGGCCAAGGAGGCCGTCTCTGAGTCTCTGCTTTCCCTGTCACGGCCAATGAAGCTGTCTCTGAGCTCTTCACCTGTCCTGTCACAGCCAAAGATGCCATCTCTAAACTCTTTGCCTGCCATGTAGTGACCCCAAAGTTCGCCTATGAACTGTCTGCCTGTCCTGTGATGGCCGCAGAGGCTGTTGTTAACTTATCTGTGCTCTCTATTCCAGTCCCGCCTGATCTGCCTTGGTTGTCTCCTGCCTTATCTGCTCAACTTTGGTGGACATCTGCTCAGCCAGAGCTATCTTGGTAGTCCCCTGCACCATTAGCTGCCCTGAGGTGATCCTTAGCAGCGCCTGCTCCACCTTGGAGGTCTTAAGTTCCATCAGCTCCACCCTGGTGGTCATCAGCTCTGCCCTGGTGGCCTCCTGCTGAAAATAGTAACATGTAACTGTGCGTTCACACCGCCGCCGTCGAGAGCATCAAAAATCGCTCTGGCCGCCCTGCCAACAACGCTGTAGAAAGATTCGTGGACGCTCTGACGTAGATCGAATGCTTATCTTGTATTTAAAGGGGACGCAAAGCAAACAAGCTTGTTGATCTTGTGCAGACTGACCACAAGGAGGGTAAAGTTATAAGTTAACCTCATTAAATATTGTTGTGGACGAAGTATTAAGATCCTTTACCTCATAATGTATAAAGCACTAATACCACACTGTAAAAATACTCTGATACAAGTAAAAGTCCTGCATTGAAAATGTTACTTAAGTAAGTATAATCAGGTATAAACATTACTTAATGTAAGTATAATCAGGAAAATTTATTTAAAGGTTTAAAAGTGAACTGGGACTATTATACGATTATTTATTATGTCATTAGATTATTATTATTATAACGTTAATGCACATCAGCAACTCACCAGGAACACCAACAATCTCAGACACCTTGGTCCACGCATAATTTTTTTTTTTTTATGTCCCTGTATGCAAACAGGGACACGTCATAGATTATTGGGAAACCCGCCACAGCAATAATCAACCTCTCCTCCATTTTGCTTGGGAACTAATGTGGTCTGAACCAAAGTTTACAGGACTGCGTTCTCTGGAATCCTCTCAAGCGGTGGACTTCTACGTTCCGATTGGTTGCCGCCAGATGCCGCCGAACCGCGTCATAGCTCATTACCATAAAGTTGACCTGATTTCAACTCTCCTCGACGCCCTCAACGTCCAAGTCGCGCCGCGCCGCTGCTCGACGCTGCTTGACGCCGGCTCACATTGAAAATGAATGACTTCCGGCCACTTTGACGCTCTCGACGGCGGCGGTGTGAACGCACACTAACACATCATAACGCAGTTTTCCCCTACGTACGCCTGAATAATTTCACAAAGAAAAGTTAAAATAGATTTATTATTCAGACTCTAAACATTAAATGTATCTTATACCCGTGTACTCTGATTTATGCCATTCTAATGGCTAACTGTAAAGCTCTTAATGTTCTTAATACATTCGTGCAGACAGGAGATGTCTTTCTTTGCAATAACATTCATGCATTGTTGCTTATAGTTTTTAACCCCTTGAGGCTTATAACTGCTGATTAAGTAATCACATGTGGGAAAAGTGGTGTCATATTGAATTGTTCTTTAAATAAATTGAGTAACTTATGTTTCAGTACTTACATTTCTATATCAGCACTTGCTACTTGGTCATAAAAAAATTGCTCAATAAAAAATGAGGTCCTAGAATACATATGTAAACTGGACTAAGTGTTATAATGGCTAAATATGAAAATATGCACATGAAAACTTTTTCTCTCAATGCACAAAATATTTTTAACAATTAAACGTACTCTTCCTTTTGAGATTATTAAGAAAACTGTGAGAACATGATATACAATAAATTAAATAAATAATATAATAATAATAATAATAAAGACCTCTCAGTTTACACCCCCTCTTTTCAAGAAGTTGAGACTTTGTGGTTCTTTTCTTGTAACGTGTAAGAAAACATTTTCCATCTCTAAACACCTTACATGTGTACGTCACATGAGGTAAACAACTCTAAAGAGGTGTTAAAGCCACAGGTTAAGCAAAGCGCTACAGAGACCAAATTACGAAGTTACAAGGTTGTTTACTTCTTGTTTTTGTTTTCCCTAAGGGCATAAAATCACCAATACAATACCATAAATTGTCCACTGTAAACATAAAGTATGGGCTATATTTCTAATATATATTTCTGAAGCCGTACATTATCTTTATGTGATGAACAGACCAAATTTGAAGTTCTCCTCCTAGTAGCTCTCAAATCTAATACTTGAGACCCAGTGGTGTTTAAGATCATTCATTTGAGCTTGGAACAAAATGAGGATGACAATATGTTGACATTTCATTTCAGAGGTAAACAATGAGCACACAGTATACAGTATGCATTGTAACAGCTTTAATGAACAATTGCAACAGCATGTGTATGTTGCGCATTAACATGCTTTGTGTCACGCACACACACGCACATTTCATATATACTGAAAAGTATATTACAAAAAGGATGATTACAGTCAAACTGGCTGTTCATTATCCTATTCATTACAAGATTACTTACCAAATAAATACATATTGAACTGACATTAGATTATTATGAGTGGAAGAGAATCCAAAGGAATGAGAGACAAGAAATAAGCACAGCTATGTAAGAAATCAGTTTACTGATCATTATACAAAGACATTTGAACACCGAATCACCATCAAGACAATTAGCAAGTTGTCATAAATAGGCAAATCAAGCAAAACTCTGCATTTTGAGGTTGTTTTGTTGTTTGGCTTACAGCCTAATAAATCTACAACAATTTTGTTATGCTCTACATTTTTGTTAAGAACAAATCAAATCAAAACTTATCAACATTACAGTATTGAGCAGTATTTCTGCCAATGTAATTGTTCATTTTGCAAGCTCAAAAAAAATTAAAACAGAGTTAAAATTACAAGTCATATCAGTTAACTATCTACATATGTATAGTTATGCAATATCTAATTTGTTTTCAAATACAATGAGAAATTCAACTAAAAGGGTCAGAGGTTATTATCTGTTCTTGATTCTGGCAGCTGTAGAAGCGCATATGTGCCGTTTATTTGGCGGGGCTGAAACCTTTTACATGGTGTAGAAAAGTCTGCCATAGCGTCCTGAAAAATCAATTCAATAGTACCATTTAATCTTAATGTAAATGTGATACAGTTTTCTGTATCACAATTTTCTCCCAAAAATATCTTCTTTTGTGTTCCATAGAATAAATAAATACAAGTTTGAAACAACATGAGGGTGAATAAATGATGAGAGAATTTTCATTCTGGGGTAACTATCACTTTAAAGGTTACATGTTTTTTTCTCTTAACTCATTTTGATTGTTTTAATCTTAATTGTTTTACCTGTGCTTGGCTTGAGTTTTGTGGTTGTTCGAGATCCGTAGCTTGAGGCTGTTGTAGGTGTGTATCTTGAGAATGTTTCAAGTTGTCTCTGGTTCTCTTGCTTCCAAGAACAAACACCTTTACTAGTCCTTAAAAGGACAGTGAATCCAGATTAAACATCAAGCCTTCTCATTTTTAGAGACAGAAAAACACATTTCAAATAACTCACCTATGATCACAATGATCAGAACACCATTCAACAGAGCAGATATCAGACTAATAATCTGCCAGTGATTCTGATCAATTATCTTCACCACTATTATTCTTGTTCTCTAGATTTAGAGTTGGTTCTGTGCAATCATTGAAAGGGTTTAATATTTAATATTTTGTGTCTAACAATGATTTAGTGTTTAATTTCAGTGAATAGTCACTCACCAGTGATGTACAGTCTGGTGCCGCTGCTGTATTTTGGAGGTGCATCTGTGGTCACACAGTAATAAAGTCCTAAATCATCAAGAGTGGCATTGTTTATGAACAGACGATGTTTACTTTGCACTGAATATTTGTGTTTAAATGTTTTATTGTAGTAAAAAGTAGCTGAAGTTGTAGAAGAGAGTAATATCAGAACCGGGGAATCTGGTAGTTTCAGTAATAACCAGTTAACCTCCTGTACATCAAAATCACAGTTTATAGTCACAGTTTGAGCCAAATCTGTTGGTTGATCTGTTAAAGTCTCTGCTGCTTGACAAAATATGAGCAGATCTGTGAAATAAAACACACACATGTACAAATATTTAATTCAGCACCGTTAAACATCAGAAATCAATGTAGTTTACAAAGCTCATACAAACACATTCATGAAGTATAACTCACAAAGATGAAGCTGCATGATCTTCGTGATGTTAAAACACTTCAACATGATGCAGTGTAAATTTCTGCTGTTTGAGAGGAAACTTTACCCCAGAAGTTTCAAGCGGGGAATTTCAGCCACATCAAGAGGAAGTTGAAGTCAAGTTTGCACTGACCACATTTTGTAGTTACTTTGCAATTCAGTGTGCTATGAACTATTCTTTTATGGTTGTGTGTTAGTTATACATCAATTGTTCTCAACTGGTTTTACTTCAGAACCCAGATTTTACATCGAACATCTAGTGGAAACCCAAGTTTATTGTACAAAAGTAACAAAAAGCAAACTTTGAAATTGCTAATACCATTACAATGTCAGTTGAATGTTGGTGGTTTTAATGCTCTCTGCAGCCAGTACACCACTCATTGTGGTCAGCACACACCTTGTTTATTTTCATTGTAAATAAACTGTTCTTTTTTTTTTCTTTTTTTTAGACTAGTATATCAAATGTTCACACCTAGGGTCTAGGGCAGGGCTGTCCAAACTCGGTCCTGGAGGGCCGGTGTCCTGCAGAGTTTAGCTCCAACTTGCCTCAACACACCTGACTGGAAGTTTCTATGCCTAGTAAGAGCTTGATTAGCTGGTTCAGGTGTGTTTAATTAGGGTTGGAGCTAAACTCTGCAGGACACCGGCCCTCCAGGACCGAGTTTGGACAGCCCTGGTCTAGGGGGTCTACCAATTATTGTTCAATCTCAAACTAATGAAAATTGTTGAATAAAGTCGTTATTTTGTTTTCTTTGCGCACAGAATGTATTCTCGTAGCTTCATAAAATTACGGTTGAACCACTGCTGAGCCTGTCACATGAACTATTTTAACGATTTCCTTATTACCTTTCTGGGCCTTGAACATGTCAGTTGTGTTGCTGTCTATGCAGCAGTGTTGCCAAGTCCGCGGTTTTCCCGAGGAATTTGGCTACTTTAACACTGTTGCCACGGGTTGTTTTTCATGTCCGCGGATTGAAACGACCGTGATAACGTGATATTTAGCCCCTGAAATGCAAATTTTACCAGGGGAACCCCGCCAAAACACGTGTATTTTATCCCCGGAACGTGCTTTTTAATGGGGGTCCCTCCTCGAAACACGATTGTGCTAGTTTTGAGTAGTGATTGGGCGTGTTTTGTTGTGAAAACCTGGTCAGAACCTGGTCAGCAAGCTCTCGGATTTCATCAAAAAATATCTTGTAAAATAAAAACAAAATTGTTCTGAAAATGAACAAAGGTCTTACGGGTTTGGAATGACATGAGGGTGAGTAATTAATGACAGAATTTTCATTTTTGGGTGAATTATCCCTTTAAGCATGCTATAAAGAAGATATGACTATTGATAGAAAGAGAATATATTTTTGTTTTAATGGTGGCACCCCAATTAAAAGCAGTCTTATAGCTATATTGAAGTAATAGTGTATTGAGTAAATCATGTTGATTCAGTAGACATTTTGGCGAGGTCAATACAGAGAGCGATGACTGATTCAATATACCAAAACGAGATGTTGCTGCAAGAGGGAGAGGAAGTTATTTTGATCTGTGGCGTCAATTCACTAAAAGTCAAGTTATGGCAAGTTCAGATGACACATCTGATACATGTTCACACTTTATTTTTCAGTGAAATATAACATTTTTCATTTTTCAGGATATACTACAATATTGCATAAAAAATAATAGTTGTCTGTTTTGATTTCAGGGTGACTTTAAAAGAACCAGCTCATATATTTTTTAATCGGACAACCCGTGTCGTGCTGTATGCTTGTTATTGCATGAAATATATTCTGCCCACCAATGAACTTAACTGATTGAATGTGAGAAAATGTAAAGAAAAAAATTTATTTTTCATATTTTTGACATTGCATGAATGACCAGTCTCCATCATTCTCAAGGTACAGATATACTCATTGCGACGATCTTTTTTGTTCTTCGCTTAGGGGTAAAAAGAAGTTTGAAATACCTTTGCACTGCACTGGTGAGAATGGTGTTCGGATTAATATGTAAATAAGTGTTGCACACTTTCCTCTCAAAAACAAAATAAACACACTGTAACGGTCAGCCTAACAGGCTGGGTTACAAAGTTTAAAATGGGGTCAGATTTTACTGTGTGAGAGGTTTGTAGGTGTTAAAAGAATGGAACCGCAACCGAGGTGGTACTAAAAAAAGTACCAGGTACTGTACCCAGTGGAAAACCCCCCAAAAGTGAACCGTACCGAGCCGTACCGTGCCGTACCATGCAGTGGAAAAGCGCCATAGGTGATGGGACGATTGATTGGCTCCAATGCTCCGATGCAGTTTTCAAAGCACTATTGTATCACACACTGTGCCGATGCTTGTATAGAAATGACAACACCACGTGATTGATGACGTTTGAAGCTTCGAATGTCATGCAGTATCGGAAGGTCGGGACAGCTGGTTTGAAAAAATTGGTGCTTCACGATCCCACCTGATGCATAAAAGGATTATTCAGTCACTTTGAGGGCTGTCAGTAGGACATTTATTCATGTTTATAAGTGGGGTCTCAGAGACCCCGAACAGAACATAAGGGTAACAGCTCACCCAACATATTTTTTTCAGCTACCCACGTCAATTATTAATTATGATCACATGTTTGTGTATTTTATATTATTGATCAATATGTGAATCCGTTGACCAAGATATACATGACACGAGTTGTGGTCTCACTGGCACAAATTAATTTAGATGAGATTATATCAGATTAGATAGAATTGTTTTGATCCCAGACTGATTCCACACCCTTGTATGTCACGGACTCGGACTTCCGAAGCTTTGTTTGGTCACATGCTTTTTCAAACCATCCTCTGCTCTGCAATGATTTGTCAGATATGGCGGAGAAAACAAGTCCGACCACCAGATGTCGCTAATGTGCATTGTATTCTTCGAGTCGAGCTTTGAGTAATGAACCGTTTTTCGGCACAATTTCATTAAAGCCTAAAACGCTTCAGAAAGCCTCAGTTTCCCATCACTAGTGTATATACAATCCAAGATAAGTGATAATCCAAAAGCTTGCAAGTGTATCTGGAAAGGTAAATCCACACAAAGGAAACTCCACAATCCAGGTAAGTTTAGTAGGTGTTAGTCACTTCCTCCTGTGTTGGCCATGCTGCTCTCTTTATACTGTTCCTTCTTCCTGTCAAGTGACTGGTCACCTGACAGGCCAACCATTCAGTTCTTAAAGACACATACACACTAAAATGTTAAGAGGAATAAAATGGACTTAATAAAACATGTAAACCAGTTAGTTAATACTCTATCATACATAAAATCATTGCAATAAATAGAGCAGTAAAACATGTCTCTTATGTGACAGAGGTGAGAAAACAGCAGTTAAGAAAGCATCTGATTAAAGTGATGTGATTAATTCATATGTCACTTTATAGAATAGATTAATTTAACCCTTATGCTCTGTTCGTTTGGGGTATACACTCGTGCTGTTTGGGGTCTCCAGAGACCCTTGTGAAGTTTTGTGAAAAAAAATTCACAAGATTTTTTATTTTGATTTATGTTAAGAGATTATAAAATCATTATTGTAATAATAAAAAATGACTCTGTCTGAAAGTTTAGCATTTTTTTGTACTGAAGTATCATTTTTTGCAGTTATGACACATGATTACAGTCAAACCTGTATGTGGTGTTCAGGGTTGGGAGGGTTACTTTTAAAATGTATTCCATTACAGTTACAAATTATTTCATTAAAAAAGAATTCAGTAACATAATCCAAGTACCACAATATAAAAGTAATGTAATCTGATTACTTTTGGATTACTTCAAATTACATATGTAAATAAGTCAAAAAAGCAATATCTAAGTACTTTTATTTAACTATCACTTTAAAATTAAAACGAATAAAAACTATAGTAAAAACTATTTGAAACTACTAAAAATCGTGTCTTGTTTCACAATACCAAGGGAAGGAGAACGACATTATCATATTGTCTCTTGTGCGCAGCAATCAGGCCGTACATAAAAGGCTATGCAGACATCTAGTGACTATACAGTTTAGTATTACAGTTTTATTTGTATTATAATTTTTTTTTCTTTAACATGTACAAGTAAAAATAAATATAGTTTATACACAACATAAAAAATGTTACACCATATACATAGTCTATTTTAAAATAAGCCTACATGTCGAAATGCATGTGAAATGCTATGATCTTTATTTCATTGACTGATCCGGGGTGTGGGGACTCTCATGTTAATTTCTACATTTTCAGGCTCATTTTCCACTAGAAAACTTACAACTGCAGTCATGCACACCATGGCATTTTAAATCACTAACAAACACTACATTTGAGCTAACATGATGATTTCCATGCTAGTCGGACTCGTACCTGTAAATATTCAGGTTGGTTGAGTAGCCTTTGTTAAAGCAAGAGGCTTCATGCATAGCTTACGCTGTACAACTATGTTATTTCCTTTATCCTCTTTGAAAACAAAATCATTAATTTACTCTAGCAGCGTCTCAGTCATCCCGCGTTTGAGGAGAATAATTGTAAACAGGTGTTATTTGCGCACGCACCAGCAGGCGGCTCACATGCGTCAACAGTCTGCATTGTAGCTGACATTTTTGACAAATTATCATTATCAAATCAACATTTGTATAGTCTCCCATTGATGTCTATGGGTGGTTGTGTGTGTGTGTGTGTGTGCGAGCGTAATCGTTCTGCATTGTGACGGTGTGGAAGGGTTGCTGCTTCATTTTCATGTATTCTGTCAGGACCACTATCGTCAAAGATGATTGACAATTAGCATACAGTTTGGATTGGCGGTATGGTTCCGTT